GACAAACCCCTGGGGGTGCGCGCCCTCGCCTGGCTACGCCGATAGCGACGCGCACGGCGGGTTCAACCCCAACATCGCCTTTCCGCATGGCCACCCCGCCCAGCGCACGCTCTCACCCGCATTCGCCGGCGACCAGTACCCTCCGTACACCTACTCACCGCTGGCTTACGCAGCCTCCCCAATGCTGCCTCTGCACCGTGGTGCACTGCACTTCTCGCAAGCCTCATCGTCGCATCTCGGCAACCCCGACGCGATGGAAGCCGGCATGGACGACATCATCACGAGCGGCTGGGCCTCCGCCGCCGCCTCCCCCGAGTTCAATGCCCAAGACGATACAATGGACCTCATCGGCGACATGGACGATGAGCTCGACTACGGGGAAGAGGATGAGGAGCCGGCGCCTGCTCTGGCGAGGAAAGGGAAGAAGAAGAAGAATCGAACGGCCAGGACTGGCGAGCCGCTCGTCAAGTGGGCGTCCAAACAAGACGAGTGTCTCAACGAAGCGTGGAAGACCGTCTGCCTCAACCCGATCACCAGCACAAACCAGAGCGCTGACACATACTAGGAGCGCATCAAGTCGGAGTTCGACGAGCGTAAGTTGGTCGACCCCTACTTCGCCACCATCCACAAGCGTGACTCGAAGGCCATGGCGAACCATTGGGCGTCATCCAAACGGCGTGCAACAAATGGCATGGGATCGTCGAGGAGGTCGCGGCTCGCCCGGAAAGCGGCGCCAACATCGAGGGTCAGGTATGCACAAACGTCGGTCCCTCGCTCATTTTCGCCGTTCGTCGCCGACACTTGTTCCTCGGTGCAGATGGTGCGGACGTTCGCCATGTACTACCAGGACAGCAACACCGACCAAGAGTTCAAGTACCTCCATGTGTTCTCTCGGATCGAGAAGTGTGAGAAGTGGGAGGACGTCCGGCGCACCCTCGCCAAGACCAAGGAGACATACAAGCCGTACGCGCTGACGTCAGGCGCGACCAATGGGTGCCCGGACGGCAACAAACGAGCCAAGTCGGCGAAGGACGCCGTGCCAGCTACTGTGCAGCTGCAAGCGTCCATCGAGTAGTGCCTCGGGGAAGCCGAGACCCGCGCCGCCCAGAGGGAAGAGAAAAACCGAGGCGCGGTGGTCGGCGTTGATGACGAACAGCGCCATGAAGCTCGACCTGCTCCAGGCCATCGTCGCTGCGAAGAAGAGGAACACCAACCTGGCATTCCTGATGGGGGAGAGGACATGTCGATGATGGACGAGCAGGTCAAGGCGTGGTACCTGGCGGAGTGTGGCCTCATCTTGAACCAGATGTCGTTGGTGGCTGTGCCAACTCCCACGCCGACCCCAACGCCGTCGTCAAGCCCGAGCGATGATGCCTCCACGAGGCCCAGCACAGAAGCCGCGCCGACGCCGACCAGCCCACACACGCCAACTCCCGCCAGTCCGACGCCGGAGGTCGACGCGGCCGTTTGATGCATTGCCTACGCATCCTTCCTTTTAAACGCCGAACTTTCGAGTTATTGATCACCGAACTGTGGCAAGGTAATCACCGAACTGATCGCCGAACTTGTGGCATTTTTTTGGGTAGCGGGAATGACAAGTTTGAATTTATGACGTCTTTAGGGGTGGCACCTGGGGGCGTGGCTTGAAACTAGATCGCCCCTAGGGCCAAAAAAGCGCCGGCCGAAGGGTCAAAATAGCGCCGGGCGATGCGTTTGGGGGCCGAACGAGCGGAGATGCTCTTAGTCATGCGTGACGCCCTGATCATATGGATGTATATTACATATGTGTAAAGTTTGGTAACGAAAAGTAAACATGTAAGCTATACAAAAATAACAAAATGGTGATTTTCAAATAGTGAATAATACATGCACTATTCATCTGTCCAAAATCATGATTTTGTCATTTTTGTGTAACTCACATGGTTACTTATTTGAGCATTAAAATTTGCACACGTGTAATATAGAATAGATCCATATAAACATGTTTATTTATTTTCAGGATTATTTGAAAATTTCAGAATAACATTTTGGCACAATTCAAAATATAGGGCTCTAATGCACCCGTGCTCCAAAGTGACTTTTTGCAGATGCTCGCGCTTAGTCATGCGTGACGCCCCTGCGCGTGGGTTGAAGAATCTGGCGCGTCTGCGTAATGATTCCCTTCGTTTGCTAAGCTAGTGATCAGCCGCCCGTCCATATCCAAGGGTAACCAGATGCTCTATATAATCTCTCGTGTCTCCGCCAGCCAAACCCGTCCGTCCTTGCACGCACGGACGCACTGCACCGACACCGATCCTCGTGCAAGCGATTTCCCCGGCGGATGGGGATGGGCGCCGCCGCCGCCGCGCTCCTGCCGCGGGAGGAACAGTGGTCGACGCTGGAGGACCAACGGGGGGGCGAATGCCCGCTGCTCTCGTCGGCGTGGAGCCTGCCAGGGCCGCCGGGGGAGGGGATCGGGAATGCGAAGCAGGGGGCGCTCCGGCGCGCCGCGGCGCGGGCGTGGGGCGCGCTGGCCGCGGGGGCGGCGGAGATGTCGGCGCTCGCGCTGTCCGACCCGCGGAAGCCCGTGTTCGCGGCCAAGGTCGCGCTGGCCATCGCGCTCATGTCGCTGCTCGCCTTCGTCCGCGAGCCGCGCGACTTCGTCAGCCACTCCGTCTGGGCCCTCCTCACCGCCGTCGTCGTCTTCGAGTTCAGCATCGGTACGCACGTTCCGATCTGACCGCCCCCTCCCTCCGACTCGGTGCTTTGCAGCGATTTGATCCACCTCTCTTCACTTTCTTCAACATTTCTGAGCCCCTTCCAAGTTTCAACTTCTGTTGTTATGAAGTGGACCCCTGGAGCATGGTAATGTTAACACTATGTTCGGTGCAGTTCTGCAGCGCTGCCTGCTATGGAGAGTTGAAGTTGACCTGGTGGTAGATAGATCGATTAAGTTACAGGTGTTTCTATGGTTTGTACTTCCTCCGTCCCAAAATTCTTGTCTTAGATTTGTCTAAATACGGATGTATCAAGTCACATTTTAGTATTAGATACATCCGTACCTAAATAAGTTAAGACAGAATTTTGGACGGAAGGAGTACAGTATTGTGAACTTGCAGATTCTGTTTTTTCTTTTTGAATAATCACCGGGGGGAGTGGATCCCCACCTGTCTACTTGCAGATTCTGTTTTTCTTTTTGAATAATCAACGCGGGGGGGGATCCCCACCACTTGCAGATTCTGTTTTTTCTCTGCTCAGATCCATATAAGAACTGGTTCTGGGCTTCTGGCCAACCACTCTGAATATTGAGCCTGTTGACTTTTTCTGTAAGGAAGCACCATTAATTTAGTTATCTATGAGTGATGGAAAGTGCCACTAAATTTTGTTCTACAGTTTTACTTGGGCCAGCGTTGATCTTGGACCAGCTGCAGAACCTATTATGAAATGGTAGACACACCCATGATGACTAGTTAAATAAATGTATCTTGTTTGGAGGGGTAATTACTAAACAGAATTTACCAAATATTCGTAATGTTTTAACTGGCAACTGATGGAAGGCTACCATTTCCTGGATGTTGCTTGCTGATCTTTCATAGTATCACCGTGATGCAGAAACCAACCTTAATGGTAGCGTTGTTTGTGTAGTGTATATCGCTGGTTGCAAGCTTGCCCTTTAATGGGATATCTAGCTCCATACTTGAAGTTGTTATCAACCAACATATCGTTATTTATTTTTACCTAGTCACATGTTTTAAACTTTCACTATGATCGTTAGAAAGCACCACTGAACTCCCTTACTATAGATTCTAGTTCAGTGGCTGGAACCCTTTGCTGTAGTACCCGTTGTAGAACTTACACAGATGCACGCTCGTGCGTTATGCAGTTCTTAACATGGACCGAAGATGCTATTTCTGACGTGCAGTTCTTAATTAGCAACTGGTGAAGGCTCTTTCTTTCTCCTGTAGTTTTGCTGGTCTGCATAATACCATTTCGATATGGAATGTAAGTATGAAGATATTTACAATTTGTATTTGTTTTACCTGCCTCTCACTGATATGGAACTTTTAATGCTAAATTTCATGGTGTGTACATTCAAAAATATTATTGCCCTTCATTAATTTGGTCCACTGTTATGCAGGTGCAACACTTAGCAGAGGTTTCAATAGGGGATTAGGAACACTTACTGCAGGAGGGCTTGCTCTAGCAATTGCTGAATCGGCCAAAAACCTGGGGGAAATGGAAGAAGTGATTATTGTTCTGAGCACCTTCACTGTTGGTAAGCATCAAAAGCATGCTGAGTTCATTTCCTGGTGCATGTTATGCAATTGTATCTAACTTGTTGTCTATTGGCTTTATGTTTTTGACTGCTAGGTTTTTGTACAACCTTGGCAAAGCAGCACCCAAAGATGAAGCCTTATGAATATGGATTTCGTGTGTTCTTGCTAACGTTCGGTTATGTCATGGTCTCTGGATACAGCACAGGGAAGTTCACTGATACAGCTGTAAACAGATTTGTATTCATTGCTCTTGGTGCTGGTGTCAGTCTGGGAATCAATATAGGCATTTACCCAATCTGGGCTGGAGAGGACTTGCACAATTTGGTTGCAAAGAATTTTGCTGGTGTTGCAAATTCCTTGGAAGGTATAAACCTTCTACCCCCTAAAAAAATTGATGCTTAGAATCATCGTAATTTTTTACAAGAAAACGCACAAGCCTTGCATCTCTTGATGCATTGATAGTAGAAAAAAAATAGGACCCTGATAAGTGCCACACGTGTGGCACAAACACATGGCAACTCCCGTTTTTTATGGCAAGTTTAGTGACGCGAGGATGTCAACTTTACTTATCAAGAATGGCAACTTTCTTTTCTGATGGCAAATTTCAGTTTTTTTGGGGGTTTGTTTTTTCTTTTCGGGTGGCAACTTTAGTTGTAAAAAACGCCAGGGCCAGATTGCTTCATGCCACACGTGTGGCACTTATCATTTGGGAAAAATTATGTATAGGCCCAAAAGGACCGTCACCCCTAAAAATTCGAAGCAACACTCCCAAGTGCTAGGCACTGAGAAGCGCCTCCAGGCCAATTGCCCCTGCATTAGCTCACTGCCAAACCTCAGGCTTGGTATTGTCAAGCAAGTTGGTGACGTTGAGTTTTATGTTGTCGAAGACGGCAGCCTTTTGCTACTTCCAGATCCACCACACTGTGAGCATGACCACCAAGGAGGTGCCTTTTCACGACGTTGGTGGGGTGGAAAGGTTGCCATGATGTCACTAATCCACGAAATCATAGCATTTCTCATGTTGAATTGTTTAAATTTCCCTGAACAGGTAGAAAATATTAGTTGTATCATTGCGATGGCTGTAGAGTGTAGATACGTCTGATTCTTACGCCTTTATTGCCAATTTTGCTGTTCATTCTAGGCTGTGTTGATGAATATCTGAAATGCATGGAATATGAAAGGATTTCTTCAAGGATACTTCTATATCAAGCTTCTGATGATCCTCTATACAGTGGGTACAGGGCAGCTATTGAAGCATCAGCACAAGAGCAAACCTTGGTTTGATCTTGCTCTAAAGCTAACACTTCTATTTAGATTATCTCACCTTTTTATGTCAATGTTTAATCGGTTCTTTTGTATGTGCTTCTAGCTAGATGATGCTATATGGGAACCACCCCATGGCCCTTACAAAACGATGAGCTATCCTTGGAAGAGTTTCACTAAAGTTGGTGGAGCACTGAGGCATTGTTCCTTCGCAGCCATGGCACTACATGGTTGCATTCTTTCAGAAATTCAGGTTTGCTAATATAGTTTCCTTGACTACCTGTTGAAGTTGTGCATGTTTTTCCTAAACAACTATATACATCTGATTTTAGGCACCATCGGAAAGCAGAAAGGTCTTTAGTTCAGAAATTCATAAAGTGGGCAGAGAATGTGCTAAAGTGTTGCGCGAGCTTGGGAACAACGTTAAGACAATGACAAAGTTGAGCTCTTCAGATATTCTATTTGAAGTCCACTTGGCAGCTGAAGAGTTGCAAAAAAAGATTGATGAGAGGTCATATCTTTTGGTGAATACTGAAGCGTGGCACACTAGCAAGCGAGCTGAAGGAATCAAAGATGCCATGAATGCCACCCTTATCGCGGGAAGAGAAAATAAGAATGAAGCGTTGGAACCTACCATTGCTGATCAAACTTTGGCGTACCATTATAAGACCTTTGCTGCTAGTTCATTCCGTAGCAGATATGATTCATCGTCAACCATAGACGGCTACAAGAAGCTACCACATTGGCCTGCTCGAACAACGTTCCATCCAAACCTGCCACTTGAAGACACGGAATCAAAAACATATCAAAGTGCAAGCGCCTTATCCTTGGCCACATTTTCCTCGCTTCTAATCGAGTTTGTTGCCCGGCTACAGAATGTTGTCTACGCATTTGAAGAACTGAGTGACAAGGCTAATTTCAAGGAGCCGGTGGAGGAGCCTGTTGCAGTTAGCAAGGGCGATGGTGGGTTTGTTGCTAAAATGTGCAAACTTGTTGGACTCAGGAGCTGACATCGACGATGACCCTGCGACGTTCCTCCATCTGGAAGCCTTGTCGCCCACTTTTAGCATCCAGTTCTGTTTAGTTATTCTGGACCACGATATGCAGTGAGACAATTGCTGGCGGTACTGCCAATCGTCAATTAATGTGTTTAAGCACCCTGTAAGCGCAACAGGGAAAGGTAGATGTGCTGTAGTATGCTCATTATTAGTCGTCTAGTGATGTTGCTGCTATCTTGCTTTCAATGCATTGATGTGGTTTTGGTGTGCTCGATTGAAAGTTGTGCTGTTGCTGAAAACTGGTAGATTTCCTGAGGAAAGCGGGGCAGATGATAGTCACGCAGCTCTAGACACGGAGCTCTGTACAACCATGATATTATATAGCGGCATGATGATTCTAATAGAACAAAAATTTCTAACGACCGCTGTTGTAGATTAGTTTGTTTTCCAGGAGTAGCCGTATTTGATTTGTGTTAGTGGCGTTGGAACTGTAAGTGTGAAATTGCATTTTCCGTAGAGATGTTCAGCAAGACTAATCACACGCATACAGGTCTTCTCTTGTTTCCTTGTACGCTTCTCAATCACAGGAATTGAACTGACGAGCTCAGACATCAGTCTTGGAGCTATTGGCCTGGTTGATGAAATACGTAAGTCATCAGGGGAGTATTTTATACTCAATCAACCTCGTGGATAATGTAGAATGGCTCTATCTGCTACCCACATGGGAACAAACAAGAAACCACAATGCCTTGGAGGTGAACTAGTTTCAGGATGTTTGCGTATCATTTTATTGATAAAAGTTAGATTGAGTACAAGAGGTGGTACACACATGACACGGACCCAAGAGGCGTGAACATGGAGAACGAAGCAGAGAGGCATGAGATGCTCGACCCAAATAAAGAAAACACAGCTAAACTCGCTGACCAAAGAAACAATCCAACTAACAATTAGACGACCAACCTCTCCAAATCCAGCACCGAGGACGCCGCGAGCAAACGAGACGAGGCCTTCATGTATAAGAATGACACAAATATGTCGTCGTCGCCCAATCCAGAAAACTGAACCTAGGGTTTCCCCTGATTCTCGAAGAGGGGCACAAATAACGGCCATGGCGGTGCCTCCAAGAAGGGGATGGCTCCCGCGGGTATTGCCGCTGCCAGCATAGGATGCAAGGATTTCTCCCTGGCCAAAATCTGAGCAATCCCAAGCCGTCGGAGCACGAACCGGAGTAGAGGAAGTTGGGCATAGGCCAGAGCTGTGTCTGCAAGAGGGGAGCCACGCCCAACACCGAAGGAGGCACCGGGTGCCGCTGGACACGCGAGCCTCGGACGAGGGCAAGGTTGTGTGGCTGAGCGGAATGAAGGCGACGGGGATGTGAAGGTGGCTGGAGACCCGGGTGAGCCAGAATTCGGAAGGGAGCGCAAATTCAGGCCACCGGGACCGGAGCAACAAGGACGCCGACGGGCTTAGAGAGCTAGAAGGGGACGCACCTCTCAAAACGTGTCGAAATCGATGATGCACCGGGATGGACGGCCAACCAAGGGCACCAGCAGGGTGATGGTGGTGCGGAGATGCCGAGAAGCCAACGAGCCAAAGGAGCCAGAAAGAGCACAGCTCCTAGGACGTGTCAGATCCGAAGCCGCGTTGTTAGGCCATGGACGCAGGAGGGGGCGCAGGTCCATGGTCGCCGGGACGAAGCCACCCCTGCTGGGGTGGGTGGGTGGTGAAGGAGACTCACGGGCAACCAAACCTCTCGTCCGACGCTTTGCGGGAAGCAGTCGCCGCCGAGGACAACCAGACACCTCCATGGCCGCCTCCCGAAGAAGTTGACCCGGAGTCGAACCAGGGGATGGGAAGGGTCAGCGTGGGGAGTGATAACCCACAAGTATAGGGGATTAGTTGTAGCCTTCTCGATAAATATGAGCGGCGAACCCAACGAGGAGCTAAAGGTTCCCCCGGCGGTGCTCCGGCGCCACCTAGAGAGAGGGGAGAGAGCCCCCTCCTTCTACTTCTTGCTTGGCCTTCCCCCAGATGATAGAAGGGTTCCCCCTCTGGTCCTTGGCCTCCATGGCCCCTGAGGGGCGGGTGCCCCCCCGAGATTGGATCTCTCCTCTTCTCTCTCTCTAGGGTTTCTTTCTGATTTCGGTCCAGTTTGTTTTCTGGCCGAATATCATTCTTAAATAGCCGGAGATCCATAACTCAGATTGGGCTAAAATTTTAAGATGATTTTCCCCCAATATTAGTTCCCTTGCACCCCGAAGAAGAGCTCCAACCGACTTACGGTTGGATCACAAGAACACATGGCGCGCCCCTGGCTTGTGGATCCCATGGGCCCCGTCTTGTGTTGATTCTTGCGCCAAAAATTTAAATATATTCCACAAAAATCCGTGTAAATTTTCAGGTCATTCCGGCTCCGTTAATTGTTCACCTAAAAACTCAAAAAGATAGAAAATAGGAACTAGCCTTTGACATTGGGTTAATAGGTTAGTTCAAATAGAATTAATATAAATTGTTGCCAAACATCTGTAAAAGTGGTATGATAACAACATAAAACAATAAAAATTTATAGATATGTCGGACACGTATCAGGGAGCCGCAACAAGTAGGGCGCACCGGGCTACCATGAAGGACGGTCAGGGAGTACCGCGACCAGTGTGTGTGTGTGTGGGGGATCCCAACTAGGGTGAACCGTAACAGAGGAGCGACAACCAAGGGTAGGCCACCCGAGTAGCCAACACGTAGGGGAAGAGACGCTGGGGCAGGCCGGCGCCGCCAGGGAGTGGATCTGTGGGGCAAGTGGCGAGGGGGGGAAGAGAACAGAGAAACGCCCCCGCCCCCGCCATCCCAGGGCCCTGCACGGCTTCGCCGGTCGGCCCTCCGACGACGGCGAGCAGGGGTGGGCGGGAGGTGGGGGCAGTCCACCGAAGAGTGGGGTTCCCCCCGAGTCGCTCGACTCGGGCGAGACGAGGGTCGGGAGTCCCTTGTGACAACTAAGATATCGTGCTGGTATTCTGGAAGCCTCTTTCCCTATCTACAACTACTTATAAAAGCATGAATCTGATGAATTCAAGTGATCTCAACATTCAACCACCTATATCTAACGTCTCACATTGCTTCAATCATGTATCCACATCTTGGACAATTTAGAAACACATTAATTGCATTAATCATAATTTGATGACATAATTGCATTAATCACAATTAACCTTGGAATCAACATTAATTGACGTTTATCTTGGAAATAATTTTACTATCAAACTATTGCTAGTACTGCTAAGTTACGGAGTGTTAGAACCGAGCTACTCAGCCAATGAAACTTTCATCCACTGCACATAGTTTTGCCGCTGAGTAGGTTCTTCGTGCAACTTTGTCAAAAAAAAGCACTAACAAGTATATTCTCCGATCTCTACCATTCCTAGTGCACCTATCATACTTTTGCGGTTTTTTCATCTCTTTCCTCTCGTGCTCATGGTTCTCCTCCATCCTGCTTTGCCACTCCGAGAGACAGAAAACCGGGAATTGTTGGATGAACATAAGAACAAATCTCTCTGTTCAATAGCATGTGTATATTTGGATGTCTATATATTTATATAGACAATGGTCTAAAAAGATTCCCTCATATACACATCCAGTTTTGCATCGGAATGTCTATATACAGGGACCATGACAGGTGGGCCGTTGCTGGGGAGAGGAAGAAATCATGACTACAGCTGAGCTTAGACAACACATTCACATTGTCCAGGCGTGGACATTGTCAAGGTCAATTTAGAGGATGTGTATATTTGGACGACCATATAGACAAGCTGTTGGACGCCTGTTTTAGACTCACGTCGTGGAAAACGAGTATAGACATTCATATAGACAAGCTATTGGAGATGCTCTAAAGCGACAAGAGATGGAGGTTGGTTGGGAGCATTTGTTGTTCACTGATATTTCACTCTAGGCTGGATGGATGAACATGTACTAAAGATTCCAGTGCTTGTTTGTTGCGGTAAATTCTATTGTTTATTAATGTTGATCGGAGCACATGTGCACATGATATGGCATTGGGGCTGTTCGATACCAGAGTAAGAACTCGTTACCAACCATGTTCTACGGTAAAATGAAATTTGAAAAGAAGAGTACCAACTTTATTATATGTATCAGCCTTTTCATCTACTGAACCAACTATTGTTCTAGACAAAACTGAAGCAACTATTTCTATTAAATAGAGTTGAGTTGGTGAATGCATGATGGTGTTATCTCTCTACCAGAGTCTAAACTCTTTTTTTTAGAGTACGTGAAAAAATAACTCCACGATAAGGTCTGACAAGAAACTAACTTCGGGAGCTATTTTTTTTATCCATGCTATCACCCTGCCCCTTAAAGTCGAGTCCCCTCTTCGATCCTGCTTTTTTCTCAACCCTTATGTTATGTTCCTCGGGCTTCAACCAAATAATTGTCAATGGGACCTGTGGTATACCACCAACTCGACGCCGTCTAGGATCTTGATAGGTCATCCTGACACGACATCATCCTCTCCCAACAAGGCATCAAACACGAACCTAACACCGGTCAAGAAGCTGATGCTGACGCAAGAGAGGATGCCCCAATATCCTCAATGCTTCAATGTTGGTGTGGTCATGGTGTTGGCATCCGGAACCATGCTTCATTGTTGGTGTGGTCATGGTGTGGCCGCGTCAGTGTAGGCTAGTGTGCCTGGAGATGGCATGCCATGTATAGTGCAGAAGTGCATGCTCTAGCCAATGCAATCAAAGACCGATCTGATGGAAGAGACTAGGCAGCACATTATACGTCAACATTCTCCCTTACGTGTGGCTCCCTCAGGCCTAAACGTGGACCGAAAGTGGGCTGCAATTTTAATTGCGCTAGCCGGGTCTTGAACTCAAGACCTCTTGGCTTCGATACCATGTACTCCTATATATATGCCCACGAGGCTCAAGCAATACAACAAACTATTCCACCAAATCCCTCTCTCCCTTCTAACATGGTATCTATCGCAAGTCGATCCT